GGCACGCCGACGTTGAACCTGGCGACAGCAGTGATTTGGAGAGATTGAAAACAGGCCTTATTGTAAGTTCATTCCAACCTGAAGAATCCAGCACTCGGAACATTTACAATGAATGACCTCGGCCGTGCATCATCATCATCAAGCACCCCATGTGGCTGCAGTTCCTTCTGTGGTGCCTTAGGCACGACGGCAAGGAAGTCAGCCATGACCACATGATCAGTGATCCAAGGAATGCTGAGCCAAAAATTGACGGAGAATTCTCGATCGTGTCCTTTGACATCCCCGCACAGGCTGCGAGTGAACCTGTATCTGTCCAAGCAACAAATTTTGATTGTTTGCAGCATGCCCTCACGATTGACAATGGTCGGAGCCTTTATCAGTGTATATGGCACGACCAAGCTAAAGCACAAGGCACAACTAATTGAGCATCATCCCTCACTAACATGAAAGTTTGCCGCCAAGAGCAGCACCATGTTTCCTCCGCTGTTTGCAAAATAGCAAGTCATGAAACATCGCCATTGTTCACAGCACTTTCACTGAACCAATGACCGTAGTCGATTTCAGTGCCCTAAGCCGCGCAACTTCCTGGGAGACCCGCGGCCTAAACACGTCTACACACCACCTCGCCCGGCAGGTGAGACAGCGGTTTCCACCACATTAGAAAATGTCCTGGGCCGATGCATGCCGAAGCGATGATTTCACAAACCACACGCATGTGGAAAGGTTGGCACAGAACCGGATCGTCATGTAAAAAAAAACAATCAAATGCTCTGTGCATGACATGAAGTCATGTAGTCCGCATATCTATCCCGTGGAAAAGGCTTCTTGTGGAAAAATGATTGCCTAAAGAATGGCCCCCTTGAGCTGGGGAAACCAGCTACCACCTGCTATGTCCAGGTGACTCGTATCCATCTAATCGGATAGTCGTCCATCCAGTCCCATTGCTCGGATCAGATCCGGTTTCGACTGGAGGACGATGCCAGGAGCCCCGTTCGTAGCGTCCTTGTTACTAGTAGCGATGCCCTAGTTACTAGTGGCTTCTTGTTACCCCATCCTGAATGGTCGTCACGATATCCGGCGCGATGTAGTTGTTGGCGTCGTTGAGAAAGTTGTTCTTCGTCGTGATGACCTGCGAAAATGCCGCGGAACGACGATTGTCCACCCCGGCGATCGCAAACGGTCGTCTCTTCGTCCGAGGGTCGTCTCATCCACCAGTTCCAGGTCTGCATCTCTCAAATGGTAGGAACTTCTTTGGCGTGATTCGTTTCTCTCCCTCTCAATTTTGGTGCCAGGCCGGAAGGATTGATGAGACCCAACCAACCGACATTCGGCCCCACAGGCGATCGAGGATCCCTACACAGGTGGATGATTTATTTGGAACATGTGCATGACCAAATGTGAACAGAAACAAACGAGTTGCCTAGAAGACTGGCCCCCAGTACTTCCATCGCTGACCCTGGTCATTCCGGATAGACTGGCATCGACTACAAGCAGTAGCAGGCCTGCGACTGCTTGCATTCAGAAATCCAGCGCAACCCAAACTTTGGTATGTTCCACAAATCGGTGTCCCAGGTGAGTAAACTCAGCACTCGCTGAGTTTAAGTGACGAGGAGCTGCACCTTCCCGTTCCGACCTTCGTCCTTTCCTAAGTAGTAAGGCCAGGAGCCCTGTTCGTAGCTTCTTGTTACTAGTAGCGTGGCGCTTGTTACTACTAGTAAGGCACTTGTTCCTAGTAGCTTCTTGTTAGTAAGGCCAGGAGCCCCGTTCGTAGCGTCCAAGGGGCCGCGTTGATCAGAGCGAAGGTGGGAAGGATCGCCGCCTGAAGCAAATCGTCCCTGCGGTGCACCGACCCTGCGTAGAGGTTTCCTGAGGGCATGACGTCGACATCAGAATTCTCAACGGTGGGATGCAATGATGCGAAAATCGGTTCATCTTGGGTGAAGCCACCTTTTTTTGGGGTCTCGGCAATTCTTCTTCCACTTGCTGAGATTGAAGTTCTTGACATTGGAGAAAGCTCCATCAGTGATACCATGGTTGGTGTGGGAGGTGACCATAATCCTGCATCTTTGACACTGAAAACTCCGTGATCACTTAGGGCCGTGGACACCCAAAATGCAGAATTCTCTGGACAGTAGTGGAGCAGCATCCTAAACATCGTCATGTCTATCGTGAGTTGTGGGTGTTCGCTCGGTGCGGCTCGGTGTCTGGCAAGTTGAAACTCTCATCATCCAGCCACGCGGCATCACACGGCTGGTTCCATGTATGCAGTTGGTGGAGGAAGTGTGTCCCAAAAGAAAGCTGCATGGATGAAAAACACAATATGCAACAATATCCTGCACCCAATGGAGCTGCCCTGTAACAAACTGGAACAACTTCAACGGATGCCATTTTGGAGTCTTTTGGGTATCTTGCTCGAGGTGCAGGAATCCGGACCCCCACAACAACAAAAGTCCTATACTACAGTATATCCTTCTTCAAACCCGACAAGAGCCATCTATTTCGAATGAACTACTTCTGGGTACTTATATACAGTTGTAATTATATAGTGACGGACAAATACTTAGAACAGCAATTGTTTCAAAGTTGAAAACCTCCACACTTAGAACATCAGGTAAAGCCCCACACTTAGAACAGCAAAGTTCGCAGCGGAACAACACCACACGCAGAACATGATAGAACATCTTGGCGGATGCTCTTCAGATATTTTTCATAACCTGCCATAGCGCATCATCTCATCTATGTACACTTCTTCTTGTGTTCATAGCAGTGCCGGCATTCCCGGAAGGTGCAATTCTGGAGATACCTCTATATATATAATATGTATACATATACACATACATACAGATACTGACAGTCACACATACTTCTGAGTATTGTTAAGGATCCTTGCCTGCCCACATGTTGACTAAAAAGTGACGGACAAATACTAAAGAACAAAAGCCCAAAGATGTTCTAAGTGTGGGTTTTGTTCTAAGTGTGGGGTTGTTACGGGTCAACTCGACATGTTCTAAGTGCAAATTGGCATTGTTCTAAGTGTTCACTTAGAAGAAACATTTTTTTCAAAGTTTTGTTCCAAGTATTTGTCCGTCACTACATGTCCAAACTCCTTTTTGGCACAGAAAACCGAGGCTCTCATCGCCAGCTGCACCATGAAAACACCAAACAAGGAGGCCACACCTTCCTGAGATTGATCCAAGCCCGAGGACGCAACAGACCCGGCAAGGCATGGTCTTGTGACACTCTCAACAGGCGCATTGTTCTTGACACAGTTTTTTCATCATCAGATCTTTTCGGAGCGAACGCAAGTCATATAATTGAGCCCTTCACTATGGCACAATAAACAATAGTTACCAAGAATCCACTACAAGGATGTTAAAGATCTTAAACCAGAACTGCAGGAACCCCATATTCGTGGAAATCGAGCACCTGTGAAGGTTGTCCTAATTATATAGTTGGTGTTTCACCCTGTCCAATAGCGATGGCCTCCAACCCAATAGCGATGACCTCCACCCTAAGGGCGATGACCTCCACCCTAAGGGCGATGGCCTCAACCCAAGCAGCGATGGCACCCAATATACTCCCATCATCCGCAATCCTCTCACTGAGCATCGCCGCGTTAAAATTGTTTTTCAGTTTTAGCGGGCCTTTGGAAGCCTGGCCTTCCAGCTCAGCCTTGTAAAAGATCGCCAAGGAGCCAAACAAAGGAGAATGATTGCAGCAGTTGAGAAACCGAGACGTCGGGTCTGCCACATCAGGAAGCCTACCGAGACGTCGGCTTCCGCAGATCGATGGTATGGAATGGGACCATTTTCAAAAGCATCCGGGCCATTTATCATATTATATAAATATGTCCGAATTATTCATTCACATTCATTCTGCGAAATAAATGCGCGCCAGAATCTAAGTTGGGTATGGCTAAGTTAGATGTGGTTCCATGTGGTTCCCTCAGATTGTCTGATGATTACTCCAGGGTATCCCAAAGTCAGGCCATACTCTGGACCGCACTTCAACCGCCCCTTTGTGGACCGCGGTTCAACCGCAGAGACCTCGGAATCCAAGGACCGTTCTCCCCCAAGCCGCAAGGTGCACACTGCTGATAGAGTAAAACAAAGCACACGTCCGTTGAACATGGCACGAGCCGAAAACCGTGGCTCAAAACACCCGGAGCCTGGTGATTCGGTGCCTTCCCGAACGGCGATGTAATGCTGCTGCAAGGCCTGAGGGCCGCAGAAAAACGTGCCAGCGCGAGCCGTGAAGAGGATCAACTAGAATAAACGATCCAACAGCGGAGATGACACAACTTGCACAACCCCCAAGCAGTCACATATCTCCAAATCCCCGTCCAAAATGTTTTGTATGGGTTTGCGCCATCTAAACTGAATCTTAATGTGGATGAGTCAGACTCTTGCGTTGACACTGTAAATTGCCCAACAGTGTGACTGGTTCCAGGGCTGAGTTCATTAAGCCATGATCTCGAGTGTTCAAAAGGTTCCAGATGTTAACACCTACACGAAGCGTGGGTCAACACTTAGACCCCAAAAGCCGTGCAATTGTTCATGTTGGAGGGTTTTCTGCGCATCTTGGGAAGGATATGAAGGAGGCCCGGCCTGCACATCGGACGAACCACACAAGACTCAAACATTCCACAAGACCCAAACGAAGTCGCTTCTACCAAAGGTCTACCAGGCACTTGGCCAGCCCCGGACCAACGTTCCGGCCTTGAGGCGAGTGAAGGTCACCGTGACGTAGGCGAAGACAGTGAAGAGTGGCACCAGCGCGCTAGTGATGAGATGCGGATCGATGGCTGCAACCGCAGCCAAGTAGATGAGGCAGCTCACCACATACCTTGGGCAGTGATGAGGCCGACCTTCAACCTTGGGCCGAACACAGGGCCGCCTGTAAGGATCTTTTGCTAGGGAAAGGAGGAGCAATACTAGGATACGAGGCTTCTGGCCAAATCCTAGTTTCGATTCTGAGATCATGCAATCCAACATCAACATATCCAATGGTCCGAGGTGCGGTCTACACTGAGGGACCTTTCCGGATGATATCGATTTTCACAAACTTTTATGCATGCATAAACTTGCGGAAGACAATGTCACTATACACAAGTTCTGGTTCCCGCGAAGATTCTCCCAGCTCAGAAATGCAAGAGGCATGATGGAGGAGAGCATCCAGCAAGCCAGGGAAACAATCTGGATGATGGCAAAGGTGAGGTTCGTCTTGCCGTGATTCAAGCTGAAGTAGTAACCTGAGGAGGTGGGAAGAGTTGGCTGTATGCCGCCAATTTTTTTCTTGTATGCCACAGGTGTCTTGTTAAGTCAAGGGCGCAAAACACATCTGATCTGCGCTCGGGCAAGTGGCTGAGGCCCAGTGGGAGCAGTACAAGAGCGTAGGCACCCATTAAAACGTGGAAGACCGGTAGCCAAGCCTGACGGGAACAAACAAGAGATCACGGTCTTACGATCGGCATGCCCAATATATGGCATGTTTCGGGGTTCCTTGGCAATGCTGAATCATGCTGAACCTTACTTTAGGTCAAGGCAAAACCAATATAGAATGCTCAAACGGGATCCATGTTGGGTTTGTCAAGCACATGGGGCACGGCTTCAGCGTGAAGACCGGATCAATAACCTCCCCCCAGCCAATTGTTTCCAATTGTTCACAAGGAAACTTATAGGCCCTGAGCCCTAGGCTCATTAGCAGACGGCCAGTAGCAGGTATATAGTAGGTGTTGGTAGTGGTGGTGGGAACAGCAACAAAATTAGAAGTAGTAGCAGTAGCATTGCTAGTCGTCGTCATCTTCGTGGTCGTCATCGTAGTCGTAGTCGTAGTCGTAGTACTAGTAGCAGTAGCAGTAGAACTAGCAGTAGCAGTAGTAGTAGGAGGAGTAGTAGTTGTAGTAGGAGTAGGAGGAGTAGTAGTAGTAGCAGTAGAAGTTGCAGTAGTAGTAGTAGTAGTAGCAGTAGTAGTAGTAGCAGTAGTAGTAGTAGCAGTAGTAGCAGTAGTAGTAGTAGAAGTAGTGGCAGTAGTGGTAGTAGTAGTAGTACTACTACTACTACTGCTGCTAATGCTAGCACTAGCACAAGTAGAATTGACCTGGTTGTGGGCCTCGGACTATTTGGGGGGGGCTTCTAGCACCCAACAGGCCCAACAAGCTTATATATTCAGGGAAAAAAGTGCAACCAATAACACGTTTTCTTTTTTGATTTGGATGAATATGTTCGAGGTTGTTTGAGCTCGGATTAGCTAGGGAAGCTTCTTTTTTCTTTTTTGTTTTTATCAATCCACACTTTACATTAAAGATGGATCAGTTCCTTGGCAGGTTGCTTTCCAGCAGGTTGCTTTCTACGTCAGTACCTACCAAGTATGTGTTGCATAGTAGATGGGCAGTTGTTTGTTTTCTGCAACGTCATGCCTATAGCATATCTGTCTTGTTGTCTACAAAGCTATATGCTGGATTTACTACGTTTCAATACTCTTCATTACCATCAGAATGAGGAGGAACTGACATCCTCTGAATAAGTGAGACAAAATGACAAAATGTAGTAGCTGCTACTGGGAGGTCGGATAAATACTCTGCTAGGTTCTGCCAGTTCTCCCCAGATTTTCGATTTGCTGGATGCAAGGGCGAAAAGACACACATGAAAGCTAATGTTGCAAAGGCTTTTACGGAACTTCTCAATTTGTGCCTGATTTGGCAACGACAGCACACAACAGGCAAGATTTGCACTTTGGTAACGATTGTGTCACCCAGGCCTTTTGGTTCTATGCTTTTGACAGCAGGGTCAGAAGCTGTTTGGCTTGCAATCGCTTTCTATATGAGCTGTTTGATCACTACATGTCGAGTATCTTAGGGCAGCTAAGCACCATGCCCCTTGTAATGTAGTGAACTTGTATCATATCTTATATCTATATGCATCAACGTGATTAAGAACTCATTTGAGAGAGTCATGCCGTTTTGAGCTGTATTACCCTTTTACTTCTCATGTATATGATTTACTAATGGCCTTGCTCCAGTAGTTTCATAGAGATAGACAGTAAAAGATCCACAAAGGCTGCTCAGATTGCAACAGAACCTGAATTGTGTGGTAGTTTGACACATGCTCAGAATGGTCAAGTGAAAATGTTGATGCATACTGTTTGATACCATCAGTAGAGTTCAGGTTGTTCAGAAGAAAGTTATTACTTGGTGCCACCTTCCGCCCACAAAACACCCTATCATAGCATGACCAAAAATGAGCTGACCAAGAGAAAACCACATATGAGTGGCATGTGCCCTTATGATCTCTAGACACAATAGTCCGGCTATCAAACATCTAATCGTTCATTTTCATACCAAAAGTCGAGTAGCAACATGTCCAATATGCCAACACTCCGGCTCCTGCACCGATGACAACTACATTAACATCATCAATGTTTTTGCTCTGAATCTCTCAAGCACCCATCGATTCTGCAAACAAAGTGAACGTAGCACCATGCTGCTCAACATGAAGCAACTGGTGCCAGTATATCAAGCATCTGTTGCAACTCATTCTCAATAATAGGTCAATCAGGAGCTTTAGGATCTTGAAGGTTAGTCCCGCCAAAAGTAGCTCCAATATTGGCAACTGATGGCAGCTGTAGCAATAAAACAATAATAAATCCGTCCACATTGCCATTGTCGACTACCATAATGTCATCAGGTAAAATCACTGAAAAAGGCTGAAGGAGGTAGTTGTCACAGGTCATTTGGTTACTGAATAGGGAAGTGGTGCTCAAACTACTTCCTGGGAACCAAGAGACAAGATTGCTGGAAACGCAAAATGGCTGGACTCTTAGTTCTTTTACAGTTTTGCAGTCTTAATGCCAGGAAACCTGGGGAATTGATGATCGTTTAAAGTTTCTTTACCTGCCGCAACAGGGCAACACTGCTAAATAGATACATATATATATATATATGTTTTGCAAGTAGCTTTTAGCTTTTAACACATGTAGAACCCATATGTTTGGAGGATCCTTTCAAGAAATTCGACATGCCAGGTGAGAGATCCTCAAAAGCATAGGTGTGTCTCAAATCCATGGGGGTCATGCAACTCACTGGTTTCCATGGATCACACAACTTTAATAGACGAAAGCCTTGTGGGGTCTCAAGTTGCCGCCCCGAGCTGGGGCTGCATGGTCGGTGGACCGCATTCGAAGCAACCAATCCTGTCATCTGCAGATTGTCCCGGTTCCCACTTCACAGCACTGCCGACCATGCATGGGCCCAAAAGCCTTCTCATCTATTTCCACGTGGGCGCGCCGAAAGGTTGCTGAAACACATTGAAACACTGTTTCTAGAACAGTAAGTACCCCGGGAAGGGGGCTCGTGATGTTCTAGAAGGTGAAAGACATATCGGCACCCTCGAGCTCTTTATCTTTTGCACCCCGTTTCGGTCCGTCACTTCTGTGCCCGACGACTCTCTGCCTCCATGAAGTGCATGGCCAAGCAGGACAAGACTGGGCACACCGAGAAGCACAAGGAGTGCATGGCGGCACTGGCCAGCGCCCAATAGACCTCAGAGACTGGTTGAAGAGACCAACAAAAGAAGCCTCCAAAGGTGTACCAAATCAAAATCTCTCCATCTTGCTCTTGGAAAAACTCCATATGCGCTGCCTACTGCACCTTATTTCTGATCAAAGACATTCAAAGACTTGGCTAATCACCAGGGACGCTCATCATCAGGGATGCTCAAACATCACTCCTCTACAACACTTTTGTTGTTGCGTTCAACATGTACCGGTGTGCCGAGTTGGGTTTGCTTCAAGAAGACTCACGTTGCGTCCCTTTTTGTTCGGTCGACGGGCCGCAGCGCCAGCCGTCGATGCCCCACCACGTGGAAGGCTGACAAAACAGAAACACATGATTTGCAATGATTTGGTCGCTGAAAGCTTCAAGGAAAAAACCATAAATGAACAATTTATACCAAAAACAACACGTTGGAGGGCGGTGGTCGATTCCCCAAAACTCACGAGCGTCGATCGATTGGTTTGCTTCAACCAGTGCGTCGATCGAGTGGGAATGCAAGCACCGATTCTATTCGGAATCCCCGCTCAAAAAGTTACCTAACTCGTTGGTTGACACTAACTCAAACTCGCTGGTTCAACCAAACCAAACAGGGAATTTGGGAGCAACGGCCAACAAGCAGCAGTTCCGACCAAACCAACGTAGACCGCACCTCCTCTTCACACTTGTAGGCATCGGCAATGGTGTTGTCCAAGACAAAGAAAGGAGAGCACATCATGAGCTGTTCCTCCATCGCTTCTAGGGTGGCCATCGCTACTAGGTGGAGGCCATCGCGGGTGGAGGCCATCGCTACTAGGGTGGAGGTCATCACTACTGGGTGGAGGCCATCGCTATTCCTCCCAAGAGTTCACCTTGACGAGTTTCGGCAGAAAAACCTCTGACAAGCTATTAGGAACAAGAAGCTACTAGGGGCTCCTGGCCTTACTACTAGGAGCAAGAAGCTACTAGGAGCAAAGGGCGTCGCTACTAGGAGCAAGAAGCTAGCTAGCCACATCCCATCGCCAGGCGTCCGGGCCCTTGGCCCGAAGCGGGGCCTCCCAAGGGATGTCCACCACCACCGGCTCTGGCTCTGGTGGCGGAGGGGTTGGAGGCTTGGGCTTGGGCTCATCAGGCTCGTCTTTTGTAACTGCCTCGCGCGAAAAACGTGACCCCGCAGCTTCAAGGGTGCTTCGGTGCCACGTGACTAGTTCGGATGGGTCAAAGGTAGGGCAGGCTTTCCTCTGACATTCTGTTCAGCTGTATTTGAGAAGTCTTTGCTGTTCTCAAGTCATGATCCAAACAAGAAGGAGACCTTTCCAGTGAAGATCTAGATGCAAGTCCTTTCGCAGGTGTTCTCAGCTCACAGTCACCTTGTTTGAGGCACTTCCAAAGATCCCCAACTTTGTTCTCAAGCTGCTCGCTGATCTATATGTTCTTCCTCAAACGAACATGGTCCATGGTGTACCTTGCAAACTCTGGAGGTTGGCAAACAAGAAGAAACTGGTAAGCTCTGCCACAGTCCAAAGCGTGAAGCCTTGATGTCACAAAAAAACACTGACCAAAGGCCCCGCAACAGAATCCACTGCCACATGACAGAACAATAAGCATGAGGATCAGTACCTTTGCTTCAATGGTTTTGCTTGCTATACAAAGAGCCCAACATCTACAAAAGGTGGGTCTAGTAGTGGGTGTGAAGCCGCTCTTCGCTTTGTTTCTACCAAGGTTCTGGCCCACATCTGAATACAGGAGGCAAGACACTACTTTGGCCGGTCGTGGCATTGACTTCGACTTTGAACTAGATCTGGTCTTGAGATGCTTTCCTCAGTTCACCACGCAGGCTAAACAGCAGGTGGGCCCCCCAAAAAGGTGGCTATGGCAGGAATGCATAGACGCCCAGCTCCTGTGCAGACGAGACGGAATGAAACACATGAGGCTTCCTACTACATCTTCCACTAAATCAACCTAATGAAAAGGGCAACATCATGGAACATCTGCTTTCCTTCTATGCAGGAAAGGACGTGAAGCCAGTGGCGCCAAAGACTCTCCCATGTTGCCAAAGGTAGTCGTGCTGGACGATCCACACCTCAAACAGTGTCTGATGCTCAGGGACACCTGATGATTGTATGACATGCATGCAAACACCCATGTACAACCATATACAGTATATATATATGATTAGTTATATATTACATGCTTCATTTCCGGTAACAAAACTGGAGGAAAGGCAAATCATCTCTCACCAAGAGGAACAGAACATAGACGATCAGTCCTGGCTTAAAGGAGCTCTTCAATGCTTCTGCTCTCAACTATTCTGGCCTGGCAGGCATCTCTCCAATCTTTGTTGGCTTCCATGACTGCGAACTTCATGAGCGTCGCGCAGCTTACAAACAAAATGATGAAAGCCACCGTCATCAGGAATTGCCTGGGCACAAGGCAGAACACTTGTGCAGGCCAGCGGATGTGGGATCGGCTGTTTGGAGCTTTGGTTGGCACAATGAAGTGGGAGGATCAACCTACCATCATGGTTTGGGCAGTTTGGTCTTGAACCACGCCATGGTTGAAATAAGGACCCATTAGGCGTCATTCCTGTTGTCTTTTCCTCTGCGGGCATCATGTTTGGGCCGCGGCCACGGCTGCTGAAAATGGACCTGCACCTGAAAGAACTGGTCAAAGACCCTTCGTCGCTTCGTCACGTGTTTTATTCTTCCCGCGGATGGGGTGCGGCAGCATTTGAGCCTCAAAGTCTGTGTCGCCTCATGACAGGCGTGTCGTTGGAAGCTGAGGGGCAAAAGAATATAATTTTCAACCGTAGAGCAATATCTTATAGTTAGAGAAACCTTCAGTGGTCAAGAACATGGTGATCACCGAGCTGTTCTTGCGGGGGTCATCATTGCTTGGATCGTCCTTTTGGGGTCCGAGGTGCCAATCCAAGCTGGGTCGATAGTAGATCCATCCGTGGACGCTGTTCCACAGCATGCCGTTTGCAGCACCCCTGGGTGAAAAACGGCCGTAGAGTACGGCGTGGAGACGATCTGCGGCCCGCCGCAAGGGGGACTGTGGCTGGACATGATCTACCACGCTCTCTCTCTCTCTCTCTGTCTCTCTTTGGAAAAGGAACGGTCAAGCTTGTAGATCAAAACAATGTTTGAAGGCATAGGTCATTCAAGTCCCTTTCTTTCAGGTTACTCACTGTCATGTGCTGGGTTGGGGTTGAGCATAAAAGTGTCCAAACATCTGACATTCATCTAAATGAAACAGAAGGCTTTTTCCAAGATAGAATGAACACTAGATCATACTACGTATATAGATCCATTTAGTATCCTGGAGGCTGCTACAACACTGAGGGACGCCAGCCCAGGTGCACGAGAAAAATTCCCTGGAAATCTTCATCCTCCTCGCAGTCGTGACACATCCAGCTGCCCCAGGTTCAAAGATCTTCCAGCAGCCCCAGGTGTGGTTCACGATAGTTTTGTGGGGCAGTATGATTTCGCAGTAATAATTATGATATGATGGCATGACCATGTCCCATCTGCATTGTGAGTGGCTCTTCCCATGCTCAACCTACGTACTGCATACTGTAATTTGAACCGTTGAAAGCCTGCCTAGTTAGCATCTACCCCGGCCTGCAACTTTAGCAGGTTCCCGATCCCCCCAAAGCGGTCCGCAGTGAAGTGGAAGTTGTTCCTCAAGAAAGCATCCTCCACGAGTTTCAGGTACTGGTTCTCAGTCATCCCCTGTGCCAGCCGTGAAATGACATGTCCAACCAAAAAAACGTCCCCGTGATTTTTACTGTAATAGGTGGAGGATGGTGGAGGGGATTAGTACAGTTAACTTCATTGGAAGAGTCTCGCTTATCACCCGTCGTTCCCTTCACCAAGACCTACCACAGCAGTATGCGTTGTGGGTGCCTTTCATCAGGCCGTAGATATCAGGGAATGCATTGGTGTTGGCTCCGCTACGAACACACGGCAATCCATGAGCACGCGAGTCCACTATTTGGTACGTCTGGGCAAGGGAGCTTTCTTTATGCAAGCTCTTCTCTATCCGGCTTGTTGCCCAGGAAGCGGGGGCCGCCTAACTCTTAGCGGGAGCCCGTCTTTTTCAGTCAATTCCTGGTTTTCTCATATACAAGAACCAGAGGGGGGCACCAACTCCAAGTGAGACCCCGCCCCAACTAGGTGCCTCGTCAACATCCAATTTCACAATGGCAGGTCGTGCTAGGCGTTGTCCAAGGCTCAGGAGTGGAATCCACCCATCCCGGTTCCTGGGCTGGCGCCGGAGGACCGGCATGGGAGAGGCAGGGGATTTGGGGGGACATCGTAAAAGCCACCCACACAAAGCCCGCCAGTAGCATCAAGTGCTGAAAGCATGAACAGCACTCCTCATATCAAAAGAACACGGACAGCCCTCCGCTGAATGCGGAGAAACGGACGCCATACACAAAACAGGAAACGCCGAGGCGCCGGTAGACTTCCTCGCTGCTGTACCAGGTCATGGTGGGCAGGTTCGTGACGTTTGGATGAACTTCAGCCTGGGTTCCAGTGAATGGTGACTGGCTGCGGTGATTCATCCCAGTCAATTGAGATACCCCCAGGGTTGCAATGAACTTTGGAAACACCCCGGCCATACCAAGCTCCTTTTTGCATACCGCGGTGCGAGGGGCGAAACACACGGGGACTACGCACATCTGCGGCAAAACGGGCCACATGTGGGGCCCTTTCCATCTGCGGTGTTGTTCCTTTCATAGAGCAAAGTGGACTTCACACACAGGTAGAACCCCCCAAAAAACGATTGTAACTATGGGAGATCGCTGGTGTTAAAACGTAAACATATACAACTTAAACAAAATATATTGTTTTGACAACTATATAATAGAATATATACTATTATGTATATATAACATTATAATTATAATATAACTATCTTGTATTTTTCCTCAGGACCATACGAGTGTGTATTTCTTACGGCGGCCACCCTCCACCTCACCACACGAAACACCGGTGGGAAAATACCGAGAAACGATCAGCGTCTTCGCTTTGGCCAGATTCTGAGCCCAAAGATCCTCGGGATCCGAAGAAGCGAAGCGAAGCGGAAGGTCGGAGAAGAGCAAACCGGAGTCAGTCCGAGGAACGTATTCTGAACATCTATATTTAAATGAAAGATAATGAAAGCATTAGCAAAACGTGGCAAGTATTGGGCCGATCAATCCAGTCAGTCAACGCGCGACAAAATTACTACTCATCAAGTGGGCCAATAAAACAATCTAACGGGGTGAAAGCCACCTGAAAGCCGCCTAAGTAAAGCCTTTGTCTCCAAGGAGCCAGTACCTCTTCATTCACCAAGCAGTTCTCCTGGTCGAGTCTTAAAGAAAGTAGGCCAAGTCTGAGCGAGTTTTGGTTTGAAACGAAGGCGACAAATCTACCCCGCAGCCCGGTGCAAACGATGCGCCGCGGGCGAACGCCCAAGCGAAGCAAAGAAACAGAAGCGGCAACAAACATCTACGACGCCCAAGTCGGAAGAACGACTGGTCGACCTCCTATGGGGAAGTGGATGAGTCCCCTAAAACCTCCTCTCTTGGCAAAACCTCACTCTCATACAATATATTGTGGTTGCACAAGTTTTCGCACGTTGCACCCACCCCAGCGGTCCAACCTCTCCCAACTGGTTGCTGGACTGGTGATCCTCTTCTTTTATTCTCTCCCTCTCACCGAAAGTTGCCTAAATAGGCGTGTACTTGAGTGATCTTGTTGACAAAATCCTGTAACACCTCACTCGACTCACTCGACCTCACCTGTGCACCCGACCTCAGTGCCATCGAGCAACGCTCAGGCCCTCTCATTCAATGTTGGCGCTACGGCTCTGAGGAGGTGGTGCAGGATTTTGGACATTCAACTTGCAACTGGCTCTTGTGTTCCCGGCACAGAGGGAGAGAACGAGGGCAGCAAGAAAAGCTTTCCTGCATGTCATGTTCCTCATTTCTTTTCTCTCAGGCTTGGGATCTCTCAGAAGCGTACGTGAGTCCGTACGTGGGTGGCAAGTCGGGGGGCCTTCACCGCTCATTGGGGGTCCCCGACGTTCTCCCACCCAGCAAGTCCTCGATGGAAGACACCACGGTGGTCTTGTTCAAGGTGCCTACGAAAAAGACTGGCACCTCGCCGTAGCTGTACCTCGGTCGAAGGGACGATCTGGAGATGGCGTGGTGTCAAGGAACAGGTGGACACCTGGCAAGGCCTTGAATGAAGGGCAGGCAAATGCAACAGGTCCTTCAATGTTGGATGTGAAGGCAAGGGGTATGACTAGAATACTTGAGTACATGATTGCAACGAATATCAACGAACCAACACAAGAGACGCGAAGTGTCTATGGGGCTCTGCATGGCGCTGCCCTCCTCGCGCTGCCCCACGGGTGCTTGGGGCTCCGGTGGACTGGTCGACTTGCCACACAGGAAGATCGCCGAGATACCATCATGTAGACTCTGGATTAGTGAACCCCCCCATTGGGATTGAAACACCTCTTCATGTCTCTTCATATGGGAGGATGTTTTCATCAAGAGTCTACATTAAGAAATAAACCATTCCGAAAAGAGCAATGAAGAACACCGAATTCGGCAGGTGTTGATCCCCATGAATGCTTCTGCCGACGAGACCGTTGGTGGGTCTGACAAACTCTTCACCAGCTCTGCAAGGTTCGGCACCTAGAGCTAGGCAACAGTAGACAAACTCATATTTTTGCACATACTTTTTTTTTAATGTGGACATGTTGAACCACCCCCGCAAACAAAGTGCCATGTGATGCCCGGCCCCTTGTGCGTGGAGTCACATGGTGTTCATGCCCGAGCTGCGCGCTGCAAAGGTAAAGCTGGATGTAGAGCAAGGCTGAAGTCATGCAAACAAAGATTGCGGCTCGCAGGAATGCCAAGCCAACTCGCTTGCAATCTCAGCGAGTCGGGGGTGTTGTTGGCGGGAGCAGCGAAGGTGGAACAGTGCAGGTGCGGGCTTTCAAAGCAAACCTGGTTGGTGGTTTCAATTGAAAACATAGGAGTCAGTGGGTTCAATCATCCCAAGTAAAGGTTGAAAACAACATTATCTGAAACCACCACCCAGGAAGCTTCCCACGTCCGGGCTTGGAGGATGACTGCAATCCGTGGAGCATCCGATGATAGGATCTTTTGAGCAACTACCCACAAGAATAAAGGTGAGGAAATTCGAGCTCTTGAAAAATGGTTGTTGGATCTTGTTGAAAAATGCTCTCATTTGTATCGTTTCATTCATCTCTTTGGTTTGCACCCCCTTTTTTGGTTCGACAGTTCTTCATGTTGATCCTTCTGCACCGAAACGGTGCTGAGCACGGATTCCATGGCGAGTCCGTTGCCCACGGATTCCATGGCGTTCGAGTGTTAGCCGGCGAAGCGTACATCAAGAACAGTTGCAATAGCCAGGAAATTAAATAAGGAGTCTACAGTCTACATAATCTTAACAAATCTCAAGAAGACTTGGTTTGTGCCATGACCTGAGCCCAAGAAGACAGGTAAAGCTTGAACCCTTCTTGATTTGACACTGTCAGCATGGAATCCCACTATTGAACCTCCTCAAGGCCTTGATTCCAGGCCTCTCGGGGCCTTTCTCGTGAATGGAGAGGTGCCAGGTGCACGAGCTACTTAACTTGGCCTACAACTACTCCGAGCCTGGTCACCTGGTCAAGTACCATGATCCCAAATGATTCCAAACAACTTTCTTCCCAACCCCCTCAGTTTCCTCAAGGTGCTGGAGACCAGTGGATTCGCCGACAAGCGCGGGGGGCCGTCGGGTGAGGAGCCCAAGATCTTCTTCCGCTCGAGATGATTATCCTGGAAGATAAGGTATGCTCGGGTGATCGCTGTCCCAAACAAAGCAAGCGGCTGCAAGGTCCGAAGGTCCGAAGGTCCCGGTTCCGGAACGAACACAACAATCCGAAAAAACATCAAAAACTGGAAAAAGGATATGTCCCAAATAGCTGGCTTTGCTACATTTTAACTCGATAAAAGGGCTTTGAGGCCCTGCCCGACCAGCTTCTTCATGACAAGTAAGGATTCTATATTTGTTGGCATGCCTCCGCTATCTCCGTTCTCATGTATCAGCAGCTGTCCCCGAAAGAATTGCTGCGTCCCTGCAAGAGTACGATCCACACTCCAGGTGAAGTTTCTTCAACAAACCCGAGGGTTGGCACCCAGTTCATTGGCATGATAGGAGCTAAACCCCAAAGTGACACTTCGGCGTTCGAATGAGGGTCTTTCCTGCAGAACCGCATCAACCATTTAACCATTGGGCCTCTCATCATCCAAACCATATTTGGCAATTTGGCAGTGAGTCTTTGTTGAAAGTGACAAGGAGAGCTGCGGTCGTCCGGACACTTCACGCCTAGTCGACGACTGGTCCGTCCGTACGGTCAAGCTGGGTACCCAGTGGGTGCCCAAAGAGCTTGACCTCTGGGGCTTTGGAGCCTTGAAGGTCGATCATGGTCGATCGAATCCAAGTACCACCAGTGGGGGGGGGGTTCTCTGGTTGGTGGAGCCTCGTTGAAAGTGACACCATCGGTGTAGTCGGGTGAAAACTGTGCGGGGGGGGTTTGTCAGCCAGTTGGTCAGGAAAAGAGTGGGGGCCACACCACCACTACCACCACCAGAGGTGGTTGATATTCAGTAGATATAAATATATAGTCTATTGTTACTAGTAGCGATGGCCTCCAACCTGGTAGCGATGGCCTCCAACCTAGTAGCTTCATTGTTACGAAGAAGCTTCAAAGACATACTGAAAAGATCCAAACAACTTCTCATAAGTTACTACAGGTGAAACGATTCCCAGGAAACCTGTCCTCGTCCTCTGTTGCTCCACCATCAGTCTCGTCCTGGGACGCAACCAAAAGGTAACTTGATGCTGCCGCTTGCCGCTCCTGAGAGATGTGTGCGTAGGCACGCGCACGTTTCTTTTTTACGCACATGCAAGGGAACGTGGACAGCCCTTGAACCAGGTCTTAAGGTGACAATGCTGGCGGGAAACATTCCTTGACTTTTGAATTGTGGTGATCATACCATGCTTAACTAGAAAACAACGTATGCGCCTCTTGCCACTGGGAACTGCCATGCCCATTCTCCCCAGCATACCCCCCGCGCCTCTGGAGACATCTTCAGCGGTGTTTGTGCGGGTCGTTTACCACGCAGCTGTTTGAGCTGGAAATGGCCGGTCAACGCCGGTGCTGTGTCAGTCCAAGAAGGGGTCAAGGAGATGTCGGTGGGACAGAAATCTTCAAACTCCTGTTCTGCGCGCAACAGGAGTGCAGAATCCACAAAGACTAAAGCTCTCTACCTTTGATTTTGTCTGTGTTTGGATTTTGTCTGGTGAACCTTACTGTCCATAGGCTATCCAAAGGTAGTTATAATTTATAATAGTTAGTCCTGTTTGCCAGTCACTGGTTTCTTCGCAGGGCGTAGAGTCAGAAAGCAAAGCAAGCCGGAGAATACATTGAATCCACAATCTTTTACTTGCTGACCGTTACCTCATCCAATGAGATTTCTTAAGATCCCAGGTCCCCTCATTTCGAAGAACCCTGCGCCACCGATCGCCACCGATCCTTTTCAGCTCTACATGTTCTACCGTTATAGTTCAGGTATTGGCCCTTTGACCACATCAAAGCAGCTCGATAAGACCCCACCATCCTTGCTCTTCCCGATGTCTTGAGGTTTGCCAGGCACAGCCCAGAGATATACTGGCTCGGAGCTGTCCTGGAGCGACGGACAAGCGACGGAGAAGCTCGGAAGGGGGCAGACCAAGCCATAGGTGGTGGGCCGCAGGCGGCTAGGGGGCGACTCAGTCTCAGTTCTCTGCCTCCCACATCGAAGTGAGATTTCGATAACGATCATCGAAAGTCCAAGTTGAAGGGTCCCATTTTTGCCTATATTTTAAGTCAGCTCCTCTGCGTGAGCATCTCTCTTGGCACTCAAACGGTCCTTGATTCCCTTCCTTGTTCGTCCCACAAAGGGGAAAACATAGTGCCTACGTTCATCCAGTGAGCACGACTTTGGTATGCGACTTTGCTCATGGATTCTTTGGGCTTCAAAGCGCAACACCCGGCCCACCGTTGCAAAAAGCGTCGGGATTCACAAGGTTCTCATTTCGACCTTACCTGCTGAGCACCTATCAAACCACCAAAGAAAGGGGGTCACTTTGTGAGATTCAGGGGACTCTTCACTCCGGGCATAGAGACACCTTTGCCGCCAAATCACATTCGAGGAGTTTATATACGTTTTCAGGTCCCATCAGCCCCATCCGATTCCAGGTTGGCACACCTTGCAAGCGTTTTTGAGCTTAAAAGCTCGGCTTCGCCCAGGTGAACACCTGAAAGCTCGGCGCACTCCCCTGATGATCTCCCCGGGTCTGGGTCCTCGTCCTGCTCTTTTGCCAGGAAATCGTTGGCTCGGATCAAAGCCTTGAGAAGCCGATTCATCGAAGTGCCTCCCAGGCCCGCCACCCGAGCAATGCCGTCTGCCATGACTTTCTCCTTCACAGCAGTGGCTAAGCCGGTAATCTTGTCGTCCGCAGCCTCAAGTCAGTGACGGTCCCAACAAGACCCCGAGCAGGATCTCCGAACACTATCCAAGGTTTTCTACTTAGATGCCCCAAGCTTTGGAAGACCTTTTATGCTCCGCTCCCCTACCTCCCCCCAAAAAAACTCACCTTGAGCATAGCCAAGGTTGCAGGGGCCAAGAATATGTCATCTATAGCCACCTCAGGGACCTCCGGCAAAGGAATCGCCTCAGCCGTAAGTCTCATCTTATAGAGAGGCCCCTTCTCATTCTCTGCCGACTCCGTGGAATTGGACTTGTCACGCTGTACGAGCAATGGGTAAAAGGCCAAGCCTCGATGGTCCAACTTCACCAGGAACTTGGACATGAAGTTCTTGGCGGCCGACAACACCCGAAAACCATTGAGCACCGCATCGGGTCCAATGGCGTCCGCCGAGGCTCGTCCGTAGCGCAGGAGCCGAGACCGTAAAACGGAGGCTGCCTGGGTTACGTTGGACTTCTTGGTGCATTGGACTGCCCATGCTGGGTCCCATTCCCCTTCACCGAGCGGGGCACGGGCCACACTCGAGGCACGGGCTGCACGTGTGGCACTGGCACTCGAGGGTGTTGCACTGGGGGCGCTCGAGGGTGTGGGAGTCGATTGTTTTGGGAAATCAAAGAAAAGGGTGCCACAAAGGAACAACGGCGTGCAAAGGACCAGGATCCATCGAGGGCGGCGCCCTTGCTGGCGAAACATTTTGGAACAGCAGTCTCTTTTGGACCTAATCACTTAAAATAAGCCACGACACTGCGTTGCGCATGCTAGCGTGCCTGAGTGTAAGCCACCTGAAGGTGACCTTCAACATAGTGCTGCAGACTCCTTGAAGACGAGAAAATCCATTGAACGCACAGGTCCAGACATCGCAATACGCAGCTCATCACTCTGTTTTCTTTTTGTCTGGCGTGGCGATGCACCACTGTCGCGTGATTGCATGGGTGTGGCACATGGGCAAGCAGGCGTGGCTTTTGCGTTTCACATCAAGAACTCAGGAGTTCGTGTCGCCATGTTTATGTTTTCGCAGCGTATCATGCAACGTGACAGTCGCATATCGAAGAGACCTGTAAAAGACCAGGCACAAGTACTCTTTTACACTTTTCCGTTGGTGGTCCCTCGTCTTGAGACGACAAATCCTCTACATGTCCATCTTTGGTTCGAGTCAAAGTCAAATTTTTAGCCACAAAAATCGCTATCCCAAAGGCCGAACTACCCAAACCGATAAGATAGTATTCTGAAGCTATGTGACTCGCTGATGGCAGCTTCGAAGTTGATCAGTGAATCAACGCCTGGCATAGCCATGTGGTTATATGTGGTTCATCAGCCTTTAAGTATGTTGACGAAACACATCAAATATACAGAATACTACAGCAACTTCGATCATTTGATGCACAATATTGATATATATATATATAATATATGGCCTATATAAATATGTTATGTAAACACATATATATATATTTGTATTATATATATAGATATATATCGGTATATGCATGACGTACAACAGCAGCATGTTGATATATACACATCACATGCCGCTATTGTACCTCTCTCTCTATATATATGTTATATTAAAAACATACCGTTCTTTCTCGCTTGTCACTGGTCTTTGCTCTTGGATTCAAGACGACGACAACCCAAGAAATTCCATGTTCAAAACCACCTGGCAGCTTGATGTCCACACCCCCCACGCGTAACACTGCTTCGAGGGCGCATGTCGTTCGCTTTGAGGGCGCCGTGATGGAAGAAATTCACCTCTTGCAGCCTTGGTGTTCCTCAACATCAACATGAAACCACAGAAACAGATCCAAACCCATCGCGGTCCGGAGAGAGTTTGGTGTATCCATGTCCGCATCATTCGTCTTGCAAGCCTGGATTCTGTTGGAGAAGAAGTCATCATAAATCAACATTGACTTAATCTGCCCGGTGGGTTCTAGTTACCACTATACTACTTACTACTACTACTACCACCACTACTACCACTACTACTACTACTACTGCTACTATATACTACTACTACTACTACT